TATACGTCGTTACGCAAATCAGAGAAGTAGTGTGTATTTAACATTGAAACGATACTCATGTCGTTTTGTGTCTCAAAAATGGGTTGGAACTTGTTTCAGTATCAATTTATACTAAAATGACTTCGAAATTGTTATGAATGATCATAACGAGTTCTACGTTGTTACGCAAATCGGAGAAGCAATACGTATTTAAAATTGAAATGATATGCATGTCGTTTTGTGTCTCATAAATGAGTTCAAACTCGTTATAGTATCAATTTTAACTGAACTGACTTCGAAGTCGTTATGTCTGGTCATAACGAGTTCTATGTCTTTACGAAAATAAGGACAGCAGTGTGTATCCTACACTGCAACGATGTGACAATGGAAGACAATGAAAAATATGTAAGCTTGTACATGTAAAACTCAATAACCTGACATTGACAATATCTAAACTTTAAAGTTATAAAAGACAATAGAAAATATGTACATTGAAATTATTTTCAAACTCCAAAATAGCAACTACTCCCAAACCAAAACAACCAAGTCACTATGTAGTGTTATGAAAATATAAAAAAATAAGAGCAAAGCACAATCTACGGCTCGAAATCCCAAGCCAACAACTCTACAGCCAGTTTCTTTCTCCATACTGGTACATAATCAGGTCGAATTGCATTTACGTTCATATTCACTTGTAGAAATTCTATATATTTGATAGCGAAAATTTCGCAATCGGATCTACAAAAAGGTTGTAAAATTTTTGTATTAATTTTCAACACTCAAGATACTATGGTACTACTAATTATGAAATTAGTCATTCTTACCCATTCACTTGTTGGAAAAGATTTTTCACGTTCATAATTTTGAAGTTTTTCGTGCTATATTTGCTTTCACTGGTAACATGAAAATTTATTATCAATGGAATAATCACCTGTAGAGGCAAAAAGTAAGCTTTCAATGCTGTCCTGCGAATGTGACCCTCCAGACTATCTAACATAAAAATGGTCTGTTGCTCCATGTCGACTAGAACTGCAAACCAATGGTCACGGGTCCAATAAGGAAGATACAAATATCTGTAGTTCTTCCAAGGTTTACCAAGCTCCGGAGAAACCCCTCTTATGTAATTAATTAGACTCTTACTACATTTGAGCTCTTTACTGGACTGTAACTTGCCATGTGCATTGACAACAAATTGATAAAAATAAGTATCCAATATGCAACGGTCCTATCGAAACGTATTGGAAAATTTGGAAGCCCTTTCTCGTATATGGTATAGGGCCTCGTCTATAATCTACAAAAATAAACTAATCAATTCAAATTGAATTTTTTTGTGACATTATCGTAAAATCATTAAAGTTGGATTACTTACACTGTCATTAATCCAACCATTATTATTCAAAAGATCCATCAAACTTTTTGCTTGAATATCATAAAAGCGCAAAGGTATAATTTGGCTGTGCATACAACAAAATCAACACGAAATTGTATTTAGGTAATACTGTCATTACTTTCACATGTACTTGCAACTATATGTAATAATTTACCACGAAGATGTAGTTTCCATCCATTTGCAAAAAACATCAACCTTGATGGGATTCATTTCTCGATAAGGATCATATACATCGATATCTGACAACTTTCTCCTCTTCGTCGGGTCCGTGTAAGGAGAACACAATAAGTGCAGTTTTCTCTTCGGACGATACTCGTCCTTTCGGTGGATCACATCCCGCCTCATTGATTTCTACACTGCCGTCTATATGTTGTAAGTAACAACAATTAGAAGTAGAAAATTTGTTTTATTTGGATATAAAGATGTAAAACTGAACTTCGAATTAATTTTTACATACCTTGCGTGGATTCATTTATATCCACATCATGATTCTCAGGCGTCACAAAATCAGCAATATCTTTCTCCACGTCGGGATGCTCCTCTTCTAAAATTATTTTTTTACAACACATTCCTCGACCATTTTTATCATTTTTTTGCTCATCTATATCATTCCCAGATCCAACTCCCTTTTCCAAGTCCTTCCCTTTTACATTTTTTCCTCTAACCTCCTCCTCTAACTTTGGGTATTCCTCACGCACTTCTACATTTCTTTTAGCAGCAGACACATCTCTCACATCATCAAATCCAGGCTCAGTTTCCAACTCCTTCCCTCCTACATTTTTTCCTCTAATCTCCTCATCTAACTTTGGATCCTCCAAAAGTAGATCTACCTTTCTTTCAGCAGCAGGCACATCTGTCACATCATCAAACTGAGCCTCCTTTTCCAAACCACCGATGCTACTAGTGGCACCATCAAATGCATTAGTCGCTGGATGGAACCGGCCTACCACAGTCAATTCAACTAACTTGTTAACCTTTTTCTCCACACGATCAAGTCGAGTCGATATGACTGCCTGTAGCCTTCTCTCAAGTTTTTTCCATTTTTGTTCTCAATAAATCCGCTATGTTGATCTCAAAACCACGCTGTGGTGGTTGAGTTGTTCTAGGAGACTCTTCGTGGTATGCATGCTCAGCGCCATGTCCTTCGGAATAGTGTGAAGCACTCTCATCTTCTTCCACAATCGGTGTTAACTCTTTCCTATAGATCTCTTCGAGTTCGGCTACAGTAGGAATCAATGTAGAATTAACCTCCAACTGCAAATATTAAATTTGCAAATCATTAGTGATCTACTAATCTAATTCCATAATTTGTCCCCATTAAACTTTAAAAAATATAAATTTACCTCTTTCTATTTCAACACAATATCAATGGTGGCAAACGCTAACCTCTTTGGCATTTCCTAAGCAGACATTCTTGGAATTAAATTTGAATATTTTGTAGCAAACTTAATTACCAAAGTTGGAATCGCTTCGAATGCCCAAATCTATTATAAAACATACATTACTATCTCATGACACAAATTTATATATACAAAATATTACAAGAATATTGTTTCTTTATATCATTATAGCAAGGGAAAAGTCGTGCAAAGAATACTGACAACGTGACTCTCCTCCGACATCAAAACTTTTCAATTTGCCTCCTATCTCACATCTGAATACATTCATCGTATTTTCAAATGAAATCTTCCCCCACGAATACTTCTCGAACCTGTTCAAATCATTTACCAAGTCTAGCCACCGTAAATCGAAGTAGGTATTTTCCTCCGTGGCTGACAAGACATACGCCAATATTACGATCAATCCCCACTCATACTTGTCGCTCTTTCTCTTCTTACAACATGCAAATGCATTGTGGACACCTTCCTTCGTAATTTTCCCCCACTATTCTTAAAATATTCTTTTACAATCCGACACTCCGCCCCCAAAGTCTTATCTACATCATTCTCATCACCCTCATTTAACCTAGTTACTAAAACAAATTCTTCCAATCCAAACCTCGCTCGTTTATCTCCTATCTTGGACCACACTTCTGCATTTTTTTTGGTCTTCATTTTCCTCAATAACAACTGATGGATAACCTATGAAGCCAACTTTATATCCCTAAGTCTAAGTAGAGATCCAAAGCAACTCTCCCGAAGCTTGCTTTTGTGATATGTATCTAGTTGTTCATAGACATCCTGTACTACTTGGAGTCTACATCTTGTTGTAATCGTAGCGTCAATCGGAATATTCTCGATAGCACTGCAAATAATAAAATATGTACAAATATGACACAATTCAAAAACAAAATGGAGAATAAATATTTATTATCTACAAATATGATACAATTCAAAAACAGAATGGAGAAATTTCATATACAAAAGTATTATTCTTGTTGGGATTTACATTACCTTCTAAACAAATTGAACACATTTACATTGCAGAAGAATAAAAATGTGAGCCAACTTTCTAGTGTTCAATTTGAAAGGCCAAAGAATTTATTTAGGTATGTGACAAAAATGTGAGCCAACTTCCCAGCAAAAAATTAAATACAAATCACATACAACACACTAGCACAGTAAGCTCTATAGCCAAAAGGGGAAGATAAGTATGTGACGACACCACATTTGGCTTTTTTTTCGACCTATAGATTGTTCTATCATCGCTAAAATTACAAAACAAGAGTAAATGAAATCAACTAATCTCATCGTGTATACGTGTCTTCAGCTCATCATGGCTTAAGCAAAATGATAAGGACTTGAGGGCAGATACATTTTACGGTAATAAGATTCTCTAATAATTTCTTCTCTCTTGCACCCACCTCAACACTTAGCGCATCTAGCCATAGAATCCTGACGAGCTTAATATGTCTAAATTCGATTATTCCAAATAGTTACCCATATATGAAATTTCTACCAGAGACAGCAATCTACAATGATTTAGAAATGACATTTTAAAATGCAATCCAAGTCCAGTTACTCCAGTATATAATTGACATGAATCGGGTTCATGCTCTATAAATCCAGGTCTCACTTGATTTTGCAACAAAATTATTGATATATTAATAGTCAAAATCATGTGTACTAATAGAAAAGAAATTGGCATTAAGTCTATTAGTGAGCTATGTGATTTCCCTTTTTCCACAAAAAAACTCGATAAAACACATAAATACCAAATTCAGTAAGAAAAAATAGGCCAATCCAAGTACATAAAGTGATCATGACAAAACTATAAAAATTGCTAAGACAACTCGAAAACCCAGCTAAACAAAATTTGGTATAATGTCTGAGGATTTTTCACGTAAACAACAAATTATGTGCTTGAAATTTGAAGAATGCTCCCTCAAAAATTGGTCTGCTAGATAGTGTTCGAGTTTCTAATGCTCCTTCAACTGGTGATTTCTCTTGCGTATAGAAGGAATAGTAGAGAAGAGAGAGGGCGCGCAATGGAGAAGAGATGGTTCGAAGGTGAAAAGAAAAAGGAACGTTTAGGACTCTATTGGTAAGGAAGGAGAAGGAACTACGTCGTTAGTTCTTTAATTTGGGGATCAATTAAAAGGATATAGTAGTGTTTTTAAATATTTATATTTTATATTATTTTCAAAAATCTCGTCAAACTCCTTTCAAACAAAAACCAATTGAAAGCTCCCACCTCACCAGCCTTTCTTCCAGCTGAGCAGGTCACCTTTCTGTCCCCCAATTCGGTCACCCGATTGATGACAAATCCCACAATCCAGATTCAGTAAGCCTACGTGGATTCCATATCATCGTCACCCTCCAAAGACACGCAGTACTCGGACCCCGCCGCTTCAACACCGTTTCTTTGCTGCCAAATTTCATCTTCATATCAATTTCCCAGTGCAAATTAAGCGTAAAAATCCATTCAATCATACTATTCAACCATGAAGGCTCGATTGGTTGTGTTTCCTATCAAAGGGAGGAACTGGTGTTTTAGCAGATCCATTGATTCCGCGACAGTAGCCTCTCAATCTTCCAACACTCCTTCCACCTTCAAAGACCTCTGGAAAACAATTTTTTCTTCGCCATATAAAAGAAATAACGCTTCTGAGGACTCGAAAGTTGAACTTCTTGTGGATTTTTCTGCGAACAAGGTCTGATTTTATTTTATTAAATAATGTGTATTGGGTTTTGTTTATATAGATTGATATGAATTAATGCGTAGTGGACTGTGTTGTTGTTCTTTCTATCATTGACTAATGTGTAATGGGTTTTGGCTATTCTAGATTAAGGTGCGATGGATTCTGTTCGTAATTCATACAGATTGTTAACGATTAATGCGCAATATGTTATTTAATGTATGTGTATGCAACCCGTACAGATGAATAGAGCTTGGACAAATCTAGAGAAAGCGCCTCAAGGGACTTTGAAGAACAAGATTCATTGGTATATTTAAATTCCTGAGACTTTTTGGTCTCTTTTGCCTGGGATTGATTGTGTCTGCGAATGGATGGTGGTACTGAAATTTTGATTTTGGGAAAATACAAAGAAATAATGTTTTCGAGTTATTTTACTGAATGTTGATTAGTGTGGTGAAATTTAGGATGGGGTTGAAGCTGTTGTCACGGGTGAAGCCGACAGAGATTTTATTCAAATCCATTCCGAAGGAGCTTAAATGTGTAGAGATCACATATCCATCGAGGTATTTTGAATTTGGACCCCTTACTGTTGCATTTTCTTCAATTTTCTTGGTTTCATTTTGACAAGTAAAGAAAGTCTTTCTGGCCCATTAAGCAAAGAATTGTAATCTGTAAACTATTTACACTGAGACTTGTTACTCTACGGACAGAAATCGTGATAGCTAGATGTATTTTAACTTCTGTTCACCATGGCATAAGTGAGAAAGTATTCTTTTCAGGCAGAAAAGTTTTATTCATCTTGATTAAAATATTAAAATATTTGAAGCTAGGGACACACGTAAAGAATGCTAGAGGAACTAATTTGGAGGCCTTGACTTAAAATTCTTCTTTTAGACTTGCCAACTACAAACATTTGAGAATGCTCAATGTCTTAACCATTGCACATATTAAATAGTACAGAATAGAAAAAGTGATGCAGGACAACTTTCAGAAAATCACTCATAAAGGTTCCTACGATTGGTCTCGTGCTAGGGATGTTCAATGTGGACAATCAAGTTATTAGTGACTGGATGAAGCTTAGAAATCATCCCTCACGTGCGAAATTATTGAAGATCTCTCCCCACACAGATCCAAGCTCTATGAACCCAATTTTCTTTTAACCAAAAACTCTGTTGACAAATTTCTAAATAGAGAGTAATTTTAATGATTTTTTAGCCATTTTAATATCAACATCAATGATGCAGGAGCGCATTAATTTGATAAAGAACAATTGAAGAACAAAAAGAGAAAAGGTTCGAAGAGAAGAATTGAGGTCAAAGAAGAAAATCAATTTATATATATTTAAGGGTACTTATTACAATGAATAAGCCCTCAATATGTAGAGCAACTTATCTAAGATCGAAAGAACTTCTATTAGACTAAAACTTTACCAAAATAGTAAAACTAATCTGATCATGTAAACATTCATAATTCATTAAACTCTATTTTGAAATCCTATCTAAACTATCTCTATCTTTATTTTTATATCTATCTCCTTCATTTATTTCTAACTAAGAGAACTCGACTCTGATGAGGTAGATTGCAACTTCTTAGTCAAGTAGGGTCGATTTTTCTTACTGATCAACTAACATAATCATCATATTGTAGCAACCCCAAGAATATGATATGATCAAGGGGGACAATCTTTCCTTTTAATCAAGTAGCCACACTGAACTCCAAAAAGCATAAACTTATGCAATTCCTTTTCAAAAACTTCAATTCGCTGTGCATGATAAGAACCACAAGCAACTAGCATTGCAGAAAGAAAGGATTGTAACACTGTAAACTTGACTTTCATTCGAGTGTAGCATCAAAAGTAAGCTAAAAAATTTCAGGATTGAAAAATAATTTGTCTTCTTATTTTGACATGAAATTTAGGAACATTGACAACTAAAAGAGGAGCTAACTCAATACATCAATAATTATTAGGCTATATTCGAATATTAAAAGGAAGAGTATGTAAGCAGACAATTTTCTTGGAAAAGAATGTGGCCACTTGGAATGCCATAACAAAGTTAACGTGAAAGTCAAACAAAAGAGTAGGTGATATTAATTTGGCATGAGGTCAAGGACACTTGGAATATTTGGCTTAGGTGCCAATGTTATGGGTAATTCATCAACTGTGTCATGGTCCATCTATTGGTGCATTAATGGTCCATATATTCGTGCATTATATCGAAGACTGGTGTGTGAAAGGAGATTTGAGACAATTTTCAGAACTCTCATCTTGTCCATCAAAATAGTCAATGGGTTCAACAATAGAAATCTCATTTTCTTTTTCATGATGAGGACTAACACAACTAAATTTAGGAAGGGATTGGTGTGAGTGGAGGGGTATCCCTAGATTTTTACTCGATGGACAAATTAAAATAGATATGTACCAACGGTTGGCCTACCTGTAGGCTTACTATAAGGGTTGAGGTGCAAAAATGTCGTCAAGCAAAATTTTAGGATTCTAGCCTTGATAAACCTAGATGCTGTGATGTGGAGAGCTTCATAAATATAATAACAATGTAATAGCTCTTCAAAGTGGCTAGATACTCACTAACAGTGAACGTACCTTGCCTACAACACAAAAAGAATTGATTTAACAATTCCGTTTGTTAATACACATGGGCATATTTATTACTTAATATTTGTTTAATCTCATCCCAAAATGTAACAGGCCGTTAACCTAGATGATTACGTAAAAATGATTTTCAATAGCTCCTAGTAGAATTGAACAAGTGACATATTAATACGATAAATTTGACGGACGTAAGTTAATGTGGGAAAGATAAAGAACTTTTCAAGATTAACGAGCCAATCCAGAATTGACTGTGGACTAGTCTAACCATCAAACCATCAAAGTCTGATCGTTGTAATGGAACTTTGCATGAAAGAATAATGAATGTCGTTGACATAGTTCCTAGGTTGAGGATTGTATTGATAAGGGGAAGGGGAAGGCACGCTAACGATCTATAGGATTGATGTTGGTGTAAGAGATTTTATAGGATTCGTATATGATGTGAGGAGAATGCCGAGACCAATCAATTTTTTGTTATATTTTTTCTTTTTTGTTTAATTGGAAAAAAGCAACTAGAAATTCAAAGAATTTTTTTTTTAAATTTTTAAATTTTTAATTGACATGTGAAAACACCAAAATAAAATAATGTTTTCAACATAAAAGAAATTTGTACCTCACAAGACTTAAAAGAGCCAAACAATATCTCAATCATCAACTTCAAATTGGTATAGCTATGGTGAAAAAGCAGTAATTGATTCTTTCGAGCAGCTCTTCAATCAATAGGAACAAAAGAGATCACAATTCCTGCATAAGTAAAGTATTATTATTATTATTATTATTTTATTTTTTTTTAAAGTAACCAAACAAACTGAATAATGGGAACTATGATTATATTGGTGGACTTAGGTTTGGAAGTTGTGAGTAGTAGGCTAATCAGTGTAGTCCATGAGTACATAAAAAATAATGGTGTGAAATAGTGAGTTGTTGGGTTATGTCCAGATATGGTATAAGAAGTATGAAACTTGTGGCTTGTTGTATGGGTTGATGGGCAAAGGCATGTAGGTGAATGGGCTGGTTTATTGTTGGTCTAATGGGTGGAATTTATGTTGGATTAGATATGGCTTCTTCTTTTTTTTTTTTTGGATTTTTTTCATTTTTTTTTGTAAGACTAAGAACAATATGAGAATGACTTAATTGCATACCGAATTAATGTAAAGGCGTATTAATTTGACAACGAACAATTGAAGAACAAGAAGAGAAAAGAGTTCCAAGAAAAGAAGAATTGAGGGGAAAAAAGAAAATCAATTTATCATATATTCAAGGGTACTTATTACAATGAATAATATATAGAGCGATTGATCTAATATTAAAATAGCTTATATTAGACTAGAACTTTCTTAGAATATTAAGCCTTGGTACCGATTAAAATTCAATTTTTAATCTAAGTTAAGGTCAATAATTAATTTTCACCTCATATTTCATGAATCCCACAACTTTTTAACCACATATTTTCTCAACTTTTATTAAAATCTACTAAAATTCTAATTCTAATAATCTAAACATTGATAACTCGAATTAAACTCTATTTTAAAATCCTATATAAACCATCTCTATCTTTATATCTATCAATCAGTTGTAGGAATATGAGGATGATTTGATCACTAATCAGGTTTCATTTAACATTGAATTAAAGGTGAGAAGAATAAATTTATGGTTCTGGCATTGTTGAAACAAAGAATAGTTATGGAAGTAAAAGAATAAGAATGTATAGGAATAGAATGTTGAATTTATGAACCTACCTAAGGAAGACACATCACGCAGTTTCAAACATAATATTGTTATTTCACTGTGATCATCTTAACTAAAATAATATGAAAGTTAAGATATAAAATCTTTGAACACCACAATTTATTCTAGACCAACTAGGATTTTTTCTAAGCAAGTGGTGTAACTAAATTAAAATAAGACTCCTGGACCTTGAGTATTGCCCATTCCAACAATTATTAAAAGACCAAAATACCATTCTGTCTAACACAGAATGAATCCTAAATCATAAATTCTAGCAGCTTGTTAACTGAATTCTTTTGTTTCATGCAGTTCTGTGCTTCAATGTTTCACTTGTACACTACAACTGAGTAAAATTATGTCAATGTGGAAGAAGCATGCAGGATTAATATCTGCAGATATATATACTGGCACAACACATATCAGTGTATATCATCTGATTTTTACTGTTTCGCCATTAATTTTGTTTTGATAATTTGCAGTTTGAATCCACGACTCATCCGCCGAAGATTACGGCATATAGCCTTCAGGTAAATTTATGGTCGTATTTTTTATTTTTTATTTTTACCACCTTGATTGTTGGTTCTTGCATCTCATCTCATTGTTGGTCCACTCTTACTTAAACACATCAATGTTGCTGCTAGAATTATACAAAGTGTTGAAGTATTGCCCCCCATTTATACACCAAAAAGTCTTGGGAGAACTAGGTTTTTGTTGGTAACAGTTTAAACCCCACGAGCATAGCATTGAAGTTCTACTATAATTAAATGCCTTTGTTGTTTTGAGGCGTTGAACTTAATTGCAGTCAACTATTCAAAATAAGGGATACCTTTTCCCTTAAACTGATAGACTACAGTAATCATATTGCTATTTTTAAATTGCAAGCGGCAAAAACTAGTTTGACTTCAGATTCTTAACACGCCCTCTCAAGCTAGTCCATAGACTAGTCGTTCTGGCATGCTATGTATTTCCTGAAATTGAGTCTTCGGTAACCCTGATGTCATAAGTCAGCAATTACAGTGGACTAGACGGCTATCTTTTTGTTGATCAAATGTCAATTGATTTCAACATGCTTTATTTTTCCATGTTAAGCTATAACTGCATAATTCTTTGTGCAATAAACCTTCCTATTGTTCTTCTTCATTTAGCTTCCTTTGAGAGAGAATGACAAATGATTCCTAGTGCAAAAGCAATAGTCGTTTGGGATAAATATATAAGCTTGCCTACTAACCTTTGGTAATGTTATAGTCACCATTGTGCTGCTTTGTGATTGACATCAGTTGGGGACATCTAGTTGTTGCACCAATGCATTTCAATTTCATTTAATAGATCCAAACTACACTTCTTTGTGACACAGGAAAATTCTTTTTTTGATTTGGCCACCTTAATATCTTGGACTCAGCTCAATTCTCTTAGATTCTTACTCTCATTCTTTTTGGCAAGGGAATCCTTTGGATTATGTATTTCAACGTAGTTATTTACAGTCAGTAAGATATCATGAACATGTGCCATTAGTATGGTCACCTTACCGCCCTGTGCACATTTAAAAAACTTGTTTTTGTTTTTCAAAACAAGCTTACGTTGATTTCTTTACTCCATGGACAGACTTTCTTAGCTACATATGACCTCCGAAGAGTTCATTCAAAATTAAACCAATGCCATGTATAGTCATCCTTTATCCCCACGATGGAAATTATTCTTGCCAATCTAACTGGTGTAGTAGAAATGAGAATATAATTTTTAGAACCAAAAGTTGTAGTAGGAAGGGAGCGGTGGAGTTCTCAATTATGGTGATCAATGAGATTTACCGAACTTGATGTTATTTTCTATCACGCTCTTCGTGGAGAGAAGGTATGTGCCTTGTGGAAGTAATATCGATTTTCAAAGAATATGGTGACCACTTTACAAGTACTTTCCTGGACTTTGGATGGAAGCAGTGGGGCCATTTTGAGTTGGTGAACACCTGCACAAAGACCCACTTCAGAAAGTTGGGGTCTAACTTGCTTTGGATGTGGTTATGATCATGAGCGAGGACAACACATCCAAAAACTTAAGGTGCAAGTGGGATAGGCGTGAACGGCGCCTGAACCCTAGATGACGACAAATGTATTTTTTCTAGACTTGCGAAACACCATTTTTTTTTTCATAAAAAGCGCGCGCACATTTTTATCTATTTCAATACCTTGTTAATGTGGAATAAAGAAGTCAGTTTTCTAACGAAATGAATGAAGCAATCGATCCTTTTACGGCCCATTTGGCACATCGTCTACTTTTGTTTTTTTAAGAAAAGTTTCTTGAGGAAGCTACTTTAGGCGAGCTTCTAAAAGTTCTTAGTTTATACATGTTTATAAGCATCTTCTTAGTCCCCCAAAGTAGCTTTCAACTTTTCAAAAGCCATGCCAAACGAGCCCTTATCGATTAACAAAATATTGGGCCCATAAAGAAGTTGGCCTCTTCAAAATCAGGGACCATTTTAAGCCACTTATCCATTAAATTCCCATCCTACACAAATTACCATATGCTTTAAAGTTTACACTATAAAATCAAATAAAAAAAATTGTAGTTATTTTAATCAACGTGTTTTGTTACTTTTCCAAAAAATGGAGCCTTGCCGTGTTCATATGAGTTCTTTGGGTGTCCTAATTTAGAATGCCACAACACCGTTTCAATTTGGAAGAACTCTCACATTGTGATACCTGTTAAACATTCTCGACATCTTCTTCGAGTCTTTGACAATTTATAAGCCTTGAAATAGTCTAAGTGTAGTTTCTTTCCACACTACACATCTAAAAAATACACAGTGAGTTGGAGAGAATCCAGCATTAAGGATCAAATACGAGGGAGTTTTATGGAAATTAAGTTGCAAGAGAAATTAGGAACAAGTGGGGTGCAATTTAGGATGAACAGGAATAGAAGAGAGGTCCATATGCTGATTTGACCCTGTGATGTCCTGAACCTAGATTCTAAGAAGTGAAAGATTTGATGAGCCTGGCATATGATCTGAAGGCCTTGAGTCTAGAAACTGTGGACTGATTTTTTTTTTTTTTCTTTTTATTTGTTTTTTGTGTCATAAAACATAGGAAAATTTTCCTACTTGGCCACGTTTCCTGTAATGTAGGAGGAGAATAGCACTGGCTCATAAATTTCGGAGATACGCAAAGTATTTCCTTGCTTAAGACAAGAGACTTGAAATGCGCACGTTTTATCAATACTCTGAACTTTGTGCTTGTCAGCAATCAGAAATCCTCAGCTGTTCTGTTGGTTTGTTTCTTCTTCCCTGGCCCTGAGAGTTCCAGTGGAGCTTCCGTCTTATGTGGCCTGATCTGTTGCAATGATGACACTATAATTTGTCCTTTGATCGGGGTTTGACAGAAGAACTTTATAAGTTTCCAAAAAATTGAAGATACCGATTAAGGAACTTGGTAAAATAGCCCTATAATTTCGGGAGAAGGGGTGCCTCCTCATAGAGGGGGTCTAAAGAAATAGAATTTCAATTATTGTGGAAAGATATCAATTGGTAGAAAGACCCACTCTAATCTCTTTAACAAAGCTTGTTACTAAATAAAAAAAGACCATTCTTCTTACCAAAATTCTGTTGGTCAGGCATTATCGGATTTCAGTGTTGAGCCTTCCTTGAATTTTCTTTTCCTGACTGTAAAAATCAACGTGCTTTCTTCTCTTCTTACTGTGAAATAAACTTCTCTTGAACATGGAATATTTTCGTTTATATAATTTTTAATCCAAAGACGTAAAATTAATGCATTTACTCTGTATACAAGGGGCTCAGTTGTTCACACGCAATATTTCTATGGATCAGCCATATTGCTGCCACTGACATCAGTTTTTATGGTATGTATCTGTATATTTGGCAAGAATGTCAAACTTAACTTCTATTATTTTTTATTTTTTATTTTTTACAGAAACAATGGCTAATTTTCTATGACGATATATTGTAGTTGATACACAGTTTGAAGTATCTGATTTAATTTTTATGCTGAGTTTTATGCAGTTTCTCCCATTGCCTAACGTCCCATTCTTTTGGATCTTGTTCCGTAGTTATTCGCACTGGAGAGCTGCAAAGGTGAGTGAAATTTCTTAAAACCATTATCTCATTAGAGTGCTAGTCATTGTTGCCTAATCCATATCTACCGATAGCTCAGAAATTGAGAAAGAGTTCTTGAAACGTCTACTAACAATAATCTTATTTTCTTATATGTTGTGGAATTTCTTGCTTACGTCTGAAGTTTCAATCAAAGAATCTGATCTAATGTGCAGGAAAAGCAGTAACTAGGATTACTAACAAGTTTATTTGCTTAAATCGATCATTTTCAGGGAAGTGAGAAGCTTCTTCGTTTAGTCACCGATGATTCCACTTGTCCGAATCAGCATCTTGAGACGAAGACGCGTGAGCGTACAGCATCAAACTCCGATGAAGGAAGTGATGATTCTGCTGGTCCTCCGTGGGTAGGCTTCTTAATATTGTGATTTGTGAAATATTAATTGCAATAATTGATATGCTCATAGTTCTTTCTTTTGCTTTGTCCCTGCCCCTGGATTTTGTTTTCTACTATTCGGCTTGGTTGCATAGAGTTCCTTCTGGTTAAACTTGCTTATCTTCTGGACTCCTTTCAATAAATCAATACTGAAACTTGAATGTTGATAATTGTTGCTTTGTGAGTTTGATTATCTAATAGTTAGTACTTCAACTACTTAGTAGTCCAAATAGGGAAAATTCAATTCTTATACAGTAAATAAACTGGTTACACGAGGCTCTGATCTTGCAGTTCAGATTTTGGGTTGGTTGGGGGACAGGACTCGGGAGGATGCTTCTTGTTAAGTTGCATGACCCTTGCGCCTCTCTCACTTCACCTCTCGAAATGCTTGTGCTGTTAAATTGTAGGGGATTGCTACACGTACATCGAGCCTTACAGCTCGGTGTACAGCCCTCTCACATGGGAGGCGGCGCCGGCTTATTAATTGGGCATGGGCTCCTCCCCTTGTCTGAGGGGAGTAAGCTCGGTATACAAGGGGCTTTTCCCTAAATTGTATTGTTATTTTTCAAATTCATTGTCCGCCTAATTTTTTATTATTATATTTTTTGGTAGGAAACTTGTGCACTTCTTCCGTCCTCTATCTAGCACCTAAAATTCTCATAATTTTTAGTTTGATAATTTTTGTATTTGCAATATCCATGATTTTCGTGTAAATACATGTGCTTATCACACTTTTTTTCTTGTTACACGTCATTCCTAGTTTTCGCTTTCTGACGTACTTTTCTTTTTCTTCTGTCTAGGTTTTTGACCCCTCCAAGGAACTTGATGAGATTATTGACCATGATGATGCCAATGGTCTTAGTAAATGTAGTATTAAAAAAATCTGCGAGAAATTCAATTTGAATACAATGGATGTTATAAAGTACCAAGATTCCATGTAATAGAAACTGTATTTTCTATGAACGATTCCGTTAAATTTTTCCAGTAATTTTTGCCAGTTCCCGATGGAAATTGAACGAAATTGAAGAGTACTTGGTGCAATTAGAAATACATAATTGAGATCAGATTATGAATGATTTAGAGCATGTTTGGTAAAGCGTTTTATAGCTTAAAAGTTGGTCAAACATTATATTAGTTTCGAATTTCATTACTTAGAGCACCGATATTTTATTTATTTATTGTTATATTATTTTGGGTGAAAAATGAGATTTGTAATACTGATTTTTTGGAAAATGTATGGTTAAAAGAGTAAGAAAAAGTTTTTGCAAAATTATTTATTGAATGAATATGTGATTGAAAATGAGTTTGAGAAAACACGAACTTTAAGAGAATGAGGCTCAAATAGCTGTTTAGTTACATTATATCACCCACAATCTCTAATAGAGGTGAACACGATTTGATTTGGGCAGTTTGAGACAAATTTTCAAATCAAATCATTTAAAATGGTTGAAAATTTTTCCAAACCAAACCAAATCATTTCGATTTTTAAATCAAACCATTTTTTTTAGAGAATGAGGCTCAAATAGCTGTTTAGTTACATTATATCACCCACAATCTCTAATAGAGGTGAACACGATTTGATTTGGGCAGTTTGAGACAAATTTTCAAATCAAATCATTTAAAATGGTTGAAATTTTTTCCAAACCAAACCAAATCATTTCGATTTTTAAATCAAACCATTTTTTTTGGGTTTGGTTCAATTTAAAACCACGATTTAATAAAAAAAAATTTAATATATATCAAATAAGTTAAATCATAAATATTAGCTTAAAATTTCATGCTAAAACGTAAATTGTATTATTAAATAAAATTACAAATCAAAGTTATATAATTATAGTCATTGTAATACAACAACATGATATAAATATTTTAAACTCTTAGTCGATATTAATGATATACATCTACAAGTGTAATACATGATTCATTTTCTTTATAAATATAAAAATATAATACATAAATTCATTGATTATAGTTAAATGATATAAAATAATTAATAAAAAAATGAATAAAAAAAAATTCAAATACAATAGTACCTGGCTAATATGACTTTTTGTGAATCATTCAAAACTTCTACTAAATATAAATATTGGTGAATTCTTTAAGGCAGACCAATAAACTGACAATTATTAGAATAAAACAATATAACTACCAATAAAAATATAAAAATAATTACCAAAAAAATAAAAAAAATTTGGTAATCTGACTTGAATTTGAGCAAAATTTGAAAAAATTATTAGAAGAAATGAAATGTGCATGTTTGAATTAAAATATAGATTTTATCGTCTGCTCAATTGTAATGAAGAATCGATGAATGTGGTTTAGCATCAATTATTCAGCACTTTATTAAATTTGAGGGTTTTACATTCACAATTGTGATGATTCATGAATATTTGTATATGATTAATTAATTAATTGAGATTTATAATTGTCGAATTGAGTTTAATTGAATTATGTCTAAAATATATGTATCTTTTTAATTAAAATGTGTTAAGTTTTAATTGGGTTAAATGAAATTTAGACTAATTTATTTTCAGATATTTTTTGGTAAACAGATTGAAAAGATTGAAACATAAACCAAACCCCTTCCAAGTGGTTTGGTTCGATTCAAAACCAAAATGTTGACGGATCCACGTGAAACTAAACCAACAGTTTTAGGAAAACAATTTCGATTCAATTTTGCGGTTTGATGATTTTATTGTTCAGCCTACTCTCCAATCTGTTTATGTGGTACCCAAGAAACAAAAATAGTAAATGACATTTATGACAGTGTTTTTAAACTAGAAGAATATTTTTTTTTTTTTAACTTTTTTTAATAATTTTTTTTACTTATTTTAACATTTTTATGACGTGGCTAAATAACAACATGGCATTCTACGTAGTGATTGCATGGGATATTCAATGTAATGAGATTATCAATCAAGCAATTTTCATACAATTTTGGAGACAGTATGTGATTTGAGTGATGAACTTGAAATTAAATTAAAGCTTAATTATCCAAGTTGAAACTAAATTAAAATTCAGTAACTAAGTTGAGACAAATTAAAATTCAGTAATTCAATTGAAATTGTCAAACAAATTTTGGACTCGAACAAAGCCAATCTGGATTCGGGTAATCGGGTTATGGAATTGCTGTTGGACCGACCGTCAGTATCAGAGGAATTAGTGGCCAACAGCCAGTTGACCCGGCCAATTTTCCAAAGAGGCCTTTGACCAGTTAAAAAAAAAAGGCAAAATTATTTAAAACAATGAAAACCAACAAAAATCAAGAGAAACCCAATTTTACCCCTCAGGACTTGCAAGGAAAAAGAAGCAGAAGGCGAGTGGAAAAGTACTGTAGCACAGTCGACCCAGTCACCGACAAATAAGGAAAAACAGGAGACCTAGTTGGCCATTTCTCTCTGCAGAAGGTAAGATTTTTATACAATAAAAAAAACCATGTTTTTATTTTTATTTTTGGAAAAAAAGTATGATTATATATATATGTGTTGAGAAATCCTTGTGTAAATGTGGAATTTGGGTTCTTATTGCTTGGGAAGGAATGGAGATCGTCGGAAATGGAGTTTTCCGACGATCTCCATGGCCGGAAATGGAAGGCCAGCGCTGGGCACGCCGTCTGGGCGAATGTACCCAGTCAACTGGGCACTGGGCCACCTGGGCACAGTAACGCCTAGGTGGCCCATCAACTGGGTTGCCCAGTCGACTGGGCACCCAGTCCCAGTCAATTGGGCACCCAGTCCCAGTCAATTGGGCACTTGGGCCTGTCAGCCCGGTTGACCCAGCTGACTGGGCCGACCGTTATTTTGGGTTGTGGGCTTTTTATTTTTTGTTAATTATTGGAGTTAATTAAATAATTATTAATGGCTTATATTGTGTTCTCTAATATGTAATTATTTATTTGAATTGCTTAATTTGAATGTATATTATGTACTTAAAATTATTTATTGTAAATATAAGATGTAAATGTTATATTATTTATCGAAATATTTATTAGTGGCTAATTTAGATTAATTAATTATTTTATATTAAGTAATAGTAAAAAAATTAAAAGAAATAATATAATATTAAATAATTAATATATATAAATAATTTAAATAAATATTTAAACATTTGTAATATAATAAAAATAAGCAATTAAATTAGCAAAAAAATTAATTTTTTGAAAAGCAATTAAAATAAATTTGTAAATATGAAATAAGCATTATGCGTAAATAATTAAAATAAGTTTTTAAACATTCATTAAAAATAAAAAGTAAATGAAGTGTTAGAAAAATAATTAAAATAAGCAATTAAAATATCAAAATAAGTTTTAGTAAAATTATATATATATATATATATATA